AGATATTGCATTGTATACTAATGATTCAGTGCAACATTTATTTTTAACCAATTTTGAGGGTTTCGAAATTTACATAGTTTTTGTTTATTTACATCAGTTTTTATCTTAATTTTTTCTATTGTCTAAATTTTTTTTGGTTTTGGTATAGTGTTTATTTAAGATATATATGGTTCTTAATGATTTTTTCAAGTTCTTTGTACAAAAATGAAAATAGTACTTAGTTTATTTTCACAAGGGAAATGACTATTAATGTGAGATGTCTAATCTGTTCTTTACCATTTGGTTATATGGGGGAGTATACAAATAATTTTTCTACATCTGTTTTTCTATGTTTTCCATTTTCATTTTTATATACGCTGCTTTTTTGGGTTTTTTTAGCCACTATCTTTTAAAGCCTTATTATAGAGATTCATCAAAAATCTTGTTATTAGCTGAATTTGTACTAATTCGTTTACGCCATGTTTAATTATAGATGGGGTGATTTGATTTAGGGATGTATATATAAAGGATTGGTGTTGGGTTTTTTTAAGGTGTGTATGTATTTTTATTTAGATCTAAAGTTATATATATATATATATATATATATATATATATATATATATAAATAAAGGAATTTAATAATATATATATATATATATATATATATATATATATATATATATATATGGTTGCTTTAAATTGAGGAATCTTGTTTCAATGAAGAAGGTCGTTAGGCACAACCCCCAATCTGGAGGTTCAGGTTTTGAATTCAGAGTTGTCCTTCTCTAACCAATCCAATGCTATAGAACCCGGTCTGTCCTGCTATTTATCCATAGCAGAAGAAGCAACGAAAATAATTCGAACTGAATTTGAACTTGTTCTCGAGTCCTCAATCTGCATTTATCCACGGTGCCTCCTCTCACCATTCGACACTAAAGAACAATGTCTCACACAGATATAGCATTAAATTAGGATTTAAATTCTTAGATATTTTTTACTAACCATGAACATTAAATTTGCGTTTTTATTCAATCTCAATTCAAACTGAATGTTCATTTACCTTTTATAAAAAAGGAGCTGTCTACATCTACAGCAAAAGGTCAGTACGAACCGCGGCTTGACCATCCCTGGGTTGAATATCAGGACACGCTGGATCCTGTAGTCTTGGTTGGCAACCAGACTACAGTGTCTTGTCAGTCATGAACCGAAAGAGACTTAAGCGCTCAAGCGTGTATCATATATGGCACTTAAATGGCTGATTGGTGTAGAGAATGTTCTTAGAACTAAAATGCCACATCCCATCTAAGGCGCCACACACAACGAAAAGCAATTAACGAGACGTTAGACTGCATTTATACTTGCAGCAAGCATGTAAAAGAATATGTTAAAAACTTGGTAAACTAAACTGAATGTTCACTAAAATATTACTGTAACATCTACAGCAAGAGTAGCTCAACGTTGCCGCAGCTGTGCAAGTGAATGTAAGTCTTTAGCTGAACTAAAAAGCCACATCCGCGCTGTCCACATTTGAAGATAAATCGTTCAAATAAATAAGAGAAGTGTCAATTTACTCAAATACAGTTCTACGCAAAGATATATATAATTCTAACACAATGATCCAAACATACAGAAAGCTATTCACGATCATACATCGATCGAAAGAATGTTTTATTCCTATAAACTCCACTGTTTATTCTCTTTTTCTATGAATATCTTTTTGTCCCGTGTAATAATTTGTTTTTCCTTTAATATTTTATCATCTTTTTTCCTTCCTCTTTCATCAGCATTCATTTATTTTATTTTTTTCCGTTCATATCCTTGATTTTATTTGTTTATTCCAGCCGTTGTTATCGGTACCGTAATAGCGAAATACCGCCCCGACATCCCTTGTTAGCCGGGCCGTCACACACGCTCGGTTGAGACCTTCAATCTAAGGGCAGGTAATTAATATATCTGCTGAGATCAGAGCCTCGGGTAGAGGTTTATGAGACAGTGAAGGGTCGTAAAGTCTCCCGCTGCTTTCAATACAGCTGCATATATGAAAATGAAAGCAATCATAAGACCAGCTTGGGCGTACGTGGAAATTGTCATATTTTCAACATATCATATAATGTGTCAGTTCGTTAATAGGTGGCACTCTTCGCGGTATAATCTATAGAAGCCAAACATTGACGTCATTTGCATGGATTATTTATTTATTTGTTTTTTAAAATAGTTTTTTGGTTGTTTTTTTTTTCTCTATTTTTTTTTTAATATTCTGAATTTATTTATAACTTTGTATTTTTATCATTTTTTTTTCCTTGTATTTTTTTAATCTGTCTTATTTCTTTCTAATATTTAATCATTAATTCAAGTATGTATTTTTCGTTTGCTTTTTATACATTTTCCTTGTTTATTATGTTTTCAATCTTTCAAACAATTTTTTCGCAGTTTTCTTTCCTCGCTACTTTGGCTTTTCTCCCAAAATATTTATATTTTTTTCCCGACTTTTTCCCCGCCTTCTTATTCGACCGTTATTATCTTCTACCGTTTCTTTTTTTTTTTTTTTTTTTCTCGAACATTCTGCATTCGTAGTTTGTATTTCATGTTTTTGGTAATCTTGCATTTTGTGTATTTTTTTTTAAATTTTTATTCTAACTTTTTTCTCAATTTGTTCATTAGGTTTTTATCGCTTTTTTTTGTTTGTTTACTTATATGTATTTTATTTACTTCCATACAGTCGGAATGTTTCATTACTTTTCGATTCTTTTCACTTTTCCTTTTTTTTTTTTTTTTTTCGTTCTTCGTTCTTTTTTGTCATATCTCTATTAAATATCCCTTCAGCCATAATTTCATTCCTTACTCCTTTCGAAACTGCATTTTAGGGGGTTCGTTTCATTCTTTTTTCCACTTCCTTTTTCTTTCAATTTCCAATTTGATTTTCATACTCTGATTTCCTTCTTTATTTTTTTTTTCCTTTTCTTTCTTTTTCTTTCTTTCTTTCTTTCATTCTTCCTTTCTTTGTCTCTTCCTTTTTGCTTTCTTGCTTATTTCTTCGTTTTTTCTTTTTTATTTCCGCTTTCATTTTTATTTATTTTCTTAACTTTTACACTCATCCATTCATTAGAATTTCTCTTTCGCATTTTCTTTTTTGTTTCTGTTTTTCTTTATTTGTTTATTTTTCACTTTGTTTTTTTTTATATATTCCCTTTAGTACTTTTTCTTTCTTTCTTTCTTTCTTTCTTTCTTTCTTTCTTTCTTATAGACAGGCACATCATCACAAAAAATATAACAATTAAAGGCGAAGGAGATCTTTCTTTCTTTCTTTCTTTCTTTCTTTCTTTCTTTCTTTCTTTCTTTCTTCTCCACATCCTTTCTTTCCTTTTTATACCTTCTCTTTCTTAATTCCTCTTTCTTTTTTTCTTTTTTCACTTTCCTTTTTCATTTCCTCTTTCATTCTTTTATTTCCTCTTTCATTCATTCTTTTTTAAATATTCTCTGTAACTTCTTTTTTTTATTATTTCCTTTACTACTCTTTCTTCTTATTTTTTCTTTCTTTCTTTCTTTATTCTCTTTCTTTCTTAATATTCACGTTAGCTTCTTTCTTCTTTTTATTTCTTTCTTTCTTTCTTTCTTTCTTTCTTAATATTCACGTTAGCTTTTACACGCATTCATTCATTTTTGTATTCTCTTTACTCCTCTTTTTTCTTTCTGTCTTTTCTTCATTCTTTCTTTCATTGCTTTCTCCTTTCTTTTTTTCTTTCTTTCTTTTGTCTTTTGCATTTACATTCATTCATTCATTCATTCATTCATTCATTCATTCTCCACAATTTCTTCTTTTCTATTACAGTTGTTACAATTATCCTCTTCCTTCATTTACATTCTTTCAAAAAAAAAAAAATATTAACTTTTATTTTTATTCTCTTTGAACACCTTTCTTTTCTACGCAGTTTTTTCCTTCTATTTCTTAACATTTTTCTTTCATTCAATCTTTCTTCTTTCCTTCCCTTTATTCATTCTTTCATATTTTCTTTCTTTATCTTCGCATCTTCCCACGTCCATTAATATATTCCTTCCTTGATTATTTTCCTTCGCTGTCTTTTATCCGCTTTTTCCCTACTGACCCCCCACATCCGCCATTTCCTGTCTTCTCGCCAACACCTTCCTAATATTTTGAATCTTATTTCTCCGTTTTGTACTGGGTTCTCTCTAATATTCGGCCATATTGTCGTTACTGATAGGCTGACTGGGGGTCCTCATAAAATACGAGTTTACTTATGCAAGTGCATATGCCACTCTATAATTGGATCGGCGCGGACTTCTTTTTTCTTTTTAAAGTTTCCTAGGCATTTTGTTGTTTTTATTGCGAATAATTTTTTTTATGTGTGAGTATTTTAATCAAAGTGAACACGTGTGAGTCGGCAGAGGCGATTATAGACTCGTATAATGAGATGTCCGTTGAACACCATTCAACACTTGTATTATACGAAGGCATATGTACATAATTGCATATATATATATATATATATATATATATATATATATATATATATATGTATGTGTGTGTGTCTATGTGTATATATATATATATATATATATATATATATATATATATATATATATATATATATATATATATATATATATATATATATATATATATATATATATATATGGGGTGGTGTGGATGGGTGCATTTAATTGTATATCGGCTGTTTTAAATGATTCACGAACGCAAATACTGGATTAATATATTCATGTATAAATACGGAGAAGTACATATGGATGCATAGACACATGCATACACACACACACACACACACACATATATATATATATATCAATTTTTATGATCAGTATATGTCTAGCTATCAACATTTATATTTTTATCTGTTAACATCTATGAATATTTGCAATATAAACATGAACAGAAATCTGTACAGAAAATGAAGATAAATAAAGAGATAGGTCTAAATCTATGCAGATAGATAGATAGATAGATTTTATAAGACTGAAATAGATAGATAGATAGATAGCTTTGATCAGACTGTGATAGATAGATAGATAGATGGATGGATAGATAGATAGATAGATAGATAGATAGATGAGATAGATTTTTTATAAGACTGAAATAGATAGATAGATAGATAGATAGATGATAGATAGAATGAATAGCTTTGATCAGACTGTGATAGATAGATAGATAGATGGATGGATGGATCGATAGATAGATAGATAGATAGTTAGATTTTATAAGACTGAAATAGATAGATAGATAGATAGATAGATAGATAGTTAGATTTTATAAGACTGAAATAGATAGATAGATAGATAGATAGATAGATAGATAGTTAGATTTTATAAGACTGAAATAGATAGATAGATAGATAGATAGATAGATAGATAGATAGATAGATAGATAGTTAGATTTTATACGACTGAAATAGATAGATAGATAGATAGATAGATGGTTAGATTTTATAAGATGAAATAGATAGATTTTAGATAATAGATAGTTAGAATAAGATGAAATAGATAGATAGATAGATAGTTAGATTTTATAAGACTGAAATAGATAGATAGATAGATAGATAGTTAGATTTTATAAGACTGAAATAGATAGATAGATAGATAGATAGTTAGATTTTATAAGACTGAAATAGATAGATAGATAGATAGATAGATAGATTTGATCAGACTGTGATAGATAGATAGATAGATTGGTCGATCGATCGATCGATAGATAGATAGATAGATAGTTAGATAGATTTGATCAGACTGTGATAGATAGATAGATAGATAGATAGATAGATAGATAGATAGATAATGAAACCATCTGCAACAGATAGATAAACAGAATTGATCGAACGGAAAAAGATAAATAGATAATGAAACTAACTGAGATAGATAGATAGATAGATAGATAGATAGATAGATAGATAGATTTTATAAGACTGAAATAGATAGATAGATAGATAGATAGATAGATAGATAGATAGATAGATAGGCAAACACACTCGGTTAGTGCTTTCAAATGTGTATGAATATAGATAAAACCACTGTCCAGTGGATTTGATTTATGCATGAATTTGATGTAAATTCCGTTATTAAAAGTCTACGACAATGATGTGCTTTCTCACCGGATTTCTTTATCGTATGCAACCAGAAAATGTTCTTATGACGAGAAGACCTCCGTAGGACGTAACGTTAACAATGCACGTTAAGTTGATAAATTGTTGATACTTGGCCCAGGAAGAAAACTGAACGAACTCTTAGACAATGAACCCGAGGAAAGCAATAAGAAAGGAATATTTACTGTAAGAACACAGAATGCATGACTGTCAACCGAAAAAAGCAGCCCAAGTCTCCAGGGTGTAAAAATCAAGCAATTATAAAAGTTCTACTATAAGCGTTGTGTAATAACAGTCGATGGATATTGTTATATAAGAGTACCAAGGCGCGGAGGAATAGTGAAAAATATCTCACGAAGCAAAAAACTGCTATGTCATGTACAATCTACCACATATCCTACATATATAATCTACTACATATACTATATACAGTATCTACTAAGTATACTACATATATAATCTACTACACAAACAACATATATAATCTACTATATACACTAAATATATAATCTACTATCTATACAACATATAATCTACTACATATACTACATATAGAATCTACTACATATACTACATACAGAATCTACTACATGTCAGTGATTGTTGAAAAAGTTTGCATAAAGATGAAGAAAATTAAAGGTGGCTCTACTGATGAATGCACGATTTTTTTTTTATCATTTCACCCCAGTCAAAGCGGAAACACCACTATGGGTGTAAGGAGGGTTGAGGAAAGCATAAAAGATTAACGGGATTGAAGATAGAATATGGCGAATGACGTTGCATTTAATTTTTGAAAATTGTAGTTAATCAGTGAAGCAAGTAAATGAAAGCGAGTTACACACGCAGGAAGTAGGAGAAAAGAAACTGTTGGCGTAGAAGTGGCGGTTGCATTTAACTATTTCAACATTATAAGGGCGGGACGTAGAGGTCGCGCTTAAATTCATGTAGTTGGGGCACCAAGGAAAAGATCTCGTCAGTTGCCATGAAAATATTTAGAGAAAAGGCAGAGGGAAGCCACGTCACTTTGATGAGAATATGACTGATGTCGAGATGCCAGGTCAGGATCAACTAACATTACAGATCCTTCTTTGGATTTTGTCAAAAACCTCGCGATTAATAGCAGGTTCTTGACAAAATCAACTGAAGTGAACTGAAAATGTGACAAGTGAACCTTTAGAAAAAAACAGGAACTGAAATAAAAGGTTTCTCGTTTGAATCTTTTGAGTTTCTCGCTCTCGAATCTGTAAGTTTATTTTTATATTCATTTTAATGTAACTGCCAAATTATTTCTTGTTCTTCCACGCTGCTATTGAGAAAGACATACGATTGTAATAGTATTATTATTATTATTTGCTTTTTTCTCCCCCCCGTTCCTTCTTCATCTCTTCCAGCTTTCTTCTTCTTCTTCTTCTTCTTCTTCTTATTATTATTATTATTATCCCTCCTCTAAAAGTCCCAGAAGAGATTCATAGCTACATTTAAATGTCTTGTGAGCTAATAGTCAGCATTCTAAATTAGAGTGATAGAACTAATTTCAACTCGGAACTAATTTCACTTCGAAACTAATTTCAATTCGATTTGAAAACTCTAACCCTAACCTCAGCCCCTAAACCTAACCCTTAGTTCCGAGTTGAAATTAGTTCCGAGTTGAAATTAGTTCCGAGTTGAAATTAATTGTGCACCCCCTAAAATAATCTATGTGGAAATTTAACCTGGAAAACAGAATGGAGGGCGTTGAACGGTTCCCAGAAGTATCTGCCTTTTTTTAAGTAAGGTTCAAGGCCGAAAAGGCCCGAGGTCCACTCATGGTAGATTTTAAAAACCTAAACCTAACATCTAACCCTAACACTAACACTTACCCCTAACCCTAATCCTTAGTTCCGTGTTGAAATTAATTCCGAGTTGAAATTAGTTCCGTGTTGAAATTAATTCCTAGTTGAAATTAGTTCCGAGTTGAAATTAATTCCGAGTTGAAATTAGTTCCGAGTTGAAATTAGTTCCGAGTTGAAATTAATTCCTAGTTGAAATTAGTTCCGAGGTTGTGCACCCCTTAAAATAAGTTATGTGGAAACTTAACCTGGAAAACCGAATGCAGGACAGTGAACGGTTCTCAGAAGTATCTGCCTTTTTTAAGTAAGGTTCAAAGCTGTACAAGGGCCGTGGTCCACTTGTAGTAGAGGGTTACGTTAAGAGATGGTTTATACGGATAATGGAGAAGATAACGGCTAACCCTGGACTTGAGCGGATTAAGATTGTAGTGATCGGGGAAGCATCCTCTTGGAAGTCGGCTCCGCAGAGGAATAGTTCGTAGGAAGAAGTTGTTTGAGTGGAATTTCACACCGATGGGTTAAGGAGGGAATGTGGGTAGGTTGCTACAATGTAAACGGTATGAAGATTCCTTTACCGTGAAAGTTAGAATTGGCAGAACCTAGGAATATAGTTCGTCCCAATACAGAACGGGGAAATTTTACAGAGAATAAGAAATACATCTGAAATGTTTTGGAAACAAATTGAGGAAATAAAGTTTGGAGAATGTAGTGGGAACAGGGAGATGTGACACAAAGGTGAAAGTATGGAGCACCCAGTGAGGTTCGAAAGTGATTACTCATTCATAAATGATCCGGAGTGCTAAACATTACATCAAGTTGAAGTTTCTAAAGTTTCTTACTAAGCGTATTTGAGATGTGGCACAAGGCCGCAAGTATGAAGCACCCATTGAGGATCAAACTCATTACTCATTCGTAGTCAATCTAGCAAGACAAACCTGCTAACCGTTACACCGTATCGAAGTACCCAAAAAATAAGCGTAGCTTAGATGTGACACAAGGCCGAAAGTATGGAGCACCAGGTTAGGAAACAGGGATTAACTTTTTTAAATCATTTCACCACTAGCAAGGCAATAAAGCCACTAAAGATGCAAGAGTTTTCTGAATGAGATAGAATATATATATATATATATATATATATATATATATATATATATATATATATATTATAAATTAATTGATTTAAAATGTTTTTCCGCTACACAGTTCTAACCATGTTTCAAAAATAAAGCTAAAAGCCCCAATTTAATTTTGCAATTAAATTGAAAAAATTCGCTTTGAGGATGAAATGGAACTAATGCTTTTAATTTAATTGCAAAATTAAATTCAGGGCTTTTAGCTTCTATTTTTGAAACATGGTTAGAACTGTGTGGAAAAACATATTTTAAATCAATTAATTTATAATATTATGCTCTGTAAATTTACATTGAGCACTATTTTGTAAAAATAAAAATATCTATAAGAACACCGGATTATATATCTTACTGTTCTTTTATTTATATATATATATATATATATATATATATATATATATATATATATATATATATATATAACACTATTAAGGAAAGAGAACATTAAAAGAAAAAAAATTAAGAAGACAGAAAATAACGATTGACATTGCATTTAAATTTTTAAAGATCAAAGTTGACGAGAAAATAAGAAGCCGGAATAGATTTCCACAAGCAGGAAGTGCGGTAGAAGAATCTATTAGAATAAAATTTACGGTTACATCTCGCCATTTCAACTGTAAAAGCATGAGACCTCACCGCCAATCTAGTACTGCGCTTAAATTCATAAAGTCGAGGTTCCACAGAGAGAAGTTCATCAGAACAATTGCCTGGGAAATATTTATAGAAAAGGCATAGGGTGTTGCAGTTTTTTTTGTGTATATGCATGTACTAGTGAGCTAGTCAAAATGAGCTGACTCATTTTATAGTCCACCAAGAGAAGAGTTAATCAGTCAGAAAGCTCAAAATATTCAATGCGACGTGTATAAAGGCAGCCATTTTGTTTTTTCTCCCAAATTATCCTCACTGCCAACCGGATATCGAAGACTTAAAGAATTACTTAACAGCCGCTACTTTCTCTGAATCTTCACTGCCAAACTCTGATATTGAACATATTACGGACTTCACTGGATTCCATATTCAGAGTCTCGGCAAACATGATCAACATAGGGAAGTTACATGAAGGCGGTTTGAAAGTGTCTGGAGCCGAGATTCCAAGGCAGGACCAATAACATCGCTGAAGAACAATCACACGGTCAAGATAAACACTCAGTTGTGGAGCAAGCTGAGTGAATAATAACTCAACCTTAAGAGAGCTATTTATGGTGCCATGGAGCATCTCATTGTGCTAAAGTGGGATAGTCCACTGTGATTGGCTGCTGGTACATGAGTGGAGGTATTTCTGTATAAATACCAGCTTGATTCATCAGTTAGTTTGCAGTGTTGTATTGAGTTACAACCTGCTTTATTTTTGTCTGCCAGCTGGGACCCTTACGCCGGTAAGTGCTGCTTAATGTATTGTTATTCTACACTCGCAGATTGTTGTCTGTACTTTATCAAAATTCTTTAAATACTTAATAGAAGCCCCAAAACAGATATCGTAAAAGCAATATTCAACACGGAGACGAATGGTAGATTTATAAATATGTAAGATAGATTCTGACAAGAAAAAAAATTGTTTAGTACGACACAGTGAACCAACTTTCCCAGTAGCAGAAAATGTTCGACTCAGAAGTTGCTCTTCTGGAGGTTAACACCAGCCCTGCTGATGGATGACAAAAAGGTCCACTCAGCCGATTCGTTTTCAAATGAATTATTAAAAATTAACGAGTTTTTCAACGAGAAATTCAATATGCCAGTTTGTTTTTTTCCACTCATTCCACTTGATTCCATTTTTACATATGTTTAACTTTTATGACCACTATTTTTATTTATTTATTTTTTTATATATATATATAACCTTAAATAACTTGACCGACATAAGTAAATATATTGGACATTTAACTTAGTAGCAATCTGTATGCCGTCAGGTTCTAGTTAACAATATATAGATAAGAATAAACTGATGTTGATATAGGATAGATATGAATAGATTGATATCAATAGACAGAAATAGAC